TTGAAAATCAATTTTCAGATTTTTCTTTAATCCTAAATAAACCTTTGATTTAGATATAAAATGTTGAAATTTTATTGTAAATAAGGAGTCCATTGATCTTTTATAATTGTTACTTAAAATCTATATCAAAATTAGAAACACATTGTGACCAAAACTTTTCCTCTAAAATTCGGATTTTTTATATATAATCATAAATATATTCATATTGAAATTACTAATTTCATCAGATTATTTATGATGAGAATTTTTCTTGTTTATAAAATAATTTAATTTAGCATTTGTTTGCTGAAATAAACATGAAATTAATGGTTTATAAATTTAGTTTTTATTTGGTATCAATAATAATAGATTACAAATTTATTTAATCTAATTAATTGAAAAAAAAAATTATTTTTAATAATATTAGAAAAAAATTTTTTTTTAAAACTAGATAAGCTCATTTAGCAGAGTCTATTATATATTTTGAAAATCTTTAAAAATATAAATTGTTTTTTATGATAACAAAATTTAGTATTTTTTTTTAAGCTTTTGATTTAAATAAAACTTCAATAAAAACATCATTCATGATTAATTCATAAATGATGGTCCTAAAAAGCCCAAAAATATACTTATATTTTTGAGTACTTTGGATATAATTATTTTTCTATTCTGGATTTTAAATTCATATATGAAACTAAATAATATTTCTTGATCATTTTTCTCATTAGTTTTGATATTTTATCTGAAATTAATAAATAATATATTCAAAATTATGAGAAATTTTAGCAGACCAAGAATCAATTCAACCTTAATGATATTAAAAATAGTGGCCATTAAAATTAATTAAAAATTGCAATAGGATAAAGTAGAGTGGCAAAATCTTAGAAAATACTATTTAATTAATTTCATTTTATGAGTAATTAAAAGATCTAAAAAAAGAGAAAATTACGCTTACAAAAATCATGTATGAAATCTTAAGATTGCAATTTATTGTACAAATATATACAAACAAAATAAAGGATTTGGCAAAGTACTTTTTTAGATATAAAGCTATAGTGTTATTATTAGTAAAATAAACTTTTAAATGAATTGTATATAATATTTGATTTTTATAGTTTTTAATCAGTCGATCAGTCCTCAAAAACTGCAATTAAAACAAAAAGAAAAAAGCTAAAAAGAAAAAAATGAAATTTATGTTCTAAAAGCAAAACAACAACAAGAAACATTGGAGCCCTTGAAATTAGTCGAAATATTATAGGATGAAGATTATATACTACTTTTTAAGACCAATCATTGAATAAATTCATAATCTGATTAGATAGAATAATAATTTCAGTTTTATTATATAAATAAACCCCTAAAACAAGAATAAAATTGATATATTTTGCAAAAAAACTTATTTATAACTCTTTATATATTTTGAATAATTTAAATTAATCTTTGATAAAGATACATCAAGGAATTTGTAAATTTAAATTAAAATTTTCAATTACAAATTGTAAAACTTATTTTTAATGATATATCTAATTTTATAATATTGAAAATAAGAGTAGGATATATCTTTATATTTATATGATGTTAGACGAACTTCTATTATTGGAGAATTATTTTTTTCATTAATTTTTTTATATATATGTAATTATTGAAATATCAAATATTTCACCAGAAGTTAATTAAATTTTCTACCATCAATTTTTAAATAATTGAATTATATATATTCTTTTGCTAATTTTAAAATTAATGGAGATAAGAATAATTTCTATAATGTTGATCACATTTAATAACTATTTAAAAGTTTATTTACATAAATTTTGAGATCCGAAAAATTATTAAGATAAATAAACAATTCTGAATGAAAAAAACAATTACCTTGGCACCTGATTACTCAAAATCTTCTTTTTTTAATGATGGAAGCTTTCTCTTTTGTAATTCTCTTACAAAATAATTGGACTTTATAGAAATTGGAACTTTCTAAATGAAATACTTAAATAAACAATCTTCAGTGTCTATTTTGATTTCTGACTAAGTGATAAAGATAGTTGAAGAAGTATAATATTGACATAAATAGAAATTTGAGAAATATATTTTTATTGAAAATGTGTGTTTCAAAAAAATATTACATCCTAAAACTCAATAATTAGGGATTCGTCTAAGTAAAAATGGATAATACGCAGAATTTTTTGGGGAAATTGTTGAAATTTGGAAGTTAATAAAAAGATATGTCATACAAGAAGATTTTTTACTCAAATATAAGTTGGGATCAAAAATTGGAGAGGGATATAGCTCCTCAGTATAATATATTAAAATTATAAAGGTTTTTAAAGCTTTTAAAATTTTAAATGGTTAAAAATTTGCTGTGAAAATAGTAGACAAGTACATGTTATCTAGAGATAATAATTTAGAAAAATAATAAATGCTTAATGAGTTAAGTATTCTTCGTTAAATCAATCATATTAATTTATTAAAATTAGAAGAAATATTTGAAAGCGAAGAAAATATATATATTGTAACAGAGTTATTAGAAGGAGGATATCTAAAGAATTCTATATTTAGGTTTAGGTTTTCTGAAGAAGAGACTATCATCTTAATGTAATAATTATTCCGTACTTTGAATTATTTACATTAGATGAATATTTTTCATCTTAATATCAAATTTGATAATATTTTCCTAAGAGATGAACAAGATCTTACTTCTGTTTGTATCATTAATTTTGGAAAAGCAGAAATTTAGAAATTTAATTCATTAAGTTCTAAAAATCTCAATCATTATGATCCAAACTCACTCATATCATTTTATAGAAAAAAAGATATATATGCAATAAGTCTAATTATTCTTAGCATCTTTGTAAAAAAACTATATAAGGAAAGTTAAATGGTTGATGAATTATTAATGAAAAATTATGACTGCTTTAGTTTTGTAGAATAAATGAATCTCTTACCCCCACTATAGAATTTTTTTGAAATATTGTTTACTGAAAAAGGAAGAAATTTAATTGATATATTAACTTGCTAAGAAATTTTAAAATTAGAAGTTTTTAACTTAAATTTTTAAAGACGATCATCAAAAGCTACTTAAATTTTACATATAAAAACTTTTGATTAAAAAAGATAATCAAGATTTATACCAAGACCATCTCAAAAAGACAATCTTTAACTTTCCTAACTTTAAAAAAGTTTGAAATTACCAAATATAAATGATTCTGGTGACAATAAACTTCCTTAAAATCAATCCTATAGTCCTTAAACAGAAAAGTATCTTTCTCATAAACTGCTAAATGAATGCAAAATTAATAATTAAACTCCAAGATAAAGTATCTTAAGAAAATTATTAAGTCCAAATGTTTGATATATGATTTGGTTTATTATTACTTTGAGTAAAATGCTGATTTTATTTTTTTTATTTTATAAAATAGACGATTTTCTTGTATATTTTATAACTTTAAATAATGGTCGTTATTGTTCAATACTTTGTTAACAAAAAAATTAAATTTAACTCTAATTTCTCAGTGGAATATGAAATTTATAAAAAAAGTTAATTATTTACATATATGCTTCTAAGAAATAAGTAATATCCTTAACATTTTGATATTCAAAATTCAATTTTGTCTACTGATTCCGAATTTTGGGCATTAAATGTGAATTTTTAATCAATATTAACATCTCGCTTGACTGTGAAGTGCAAGGGAAAAATAAAGGAGAAAAATATTTCAATTGGAGCATAACATATTAAATATACTAAAAATGTAGACTATTGATTGTATTTAGAAATTTATAAGGTTTGCAAATGCCTTTTTTACAATTTTAAGAAATACGTAATAAGAAGTAATAGGAATATAATTGTAAAAATAAGATAACAAAATTGAGGTTTATGGACAAATATAAAATTGGATTGGTTTATTAATGAAAGAATGCATTTCATTAGACTTTATTTCTAATTACAGTATTGTTAAATTGATAGGTAGTGGATCTACAGCAAATGTAATATCTATTTTTAGTTTAAGGTTTATTAAGTTCGATCTAAAATAGATGGCATAGATTGTGCAATGAAAGTTTTCGATAAAGCATAATTTGAGAAAGATTATTAAATTAAACAATCGATTTTATTTGAAATAACATATTTAAAACTACTTAGTCATCCTAATATAGTTAAATATTTAGGAGTGTTCGAGTCAAATTCATAAATAATTTTAATCTTAGAATATTTAGAAGGAGGAGATTTAAAAAGTAATTTTGAAGACAAATAGATTGATGAAGATTAAATTAAAATTATCATGAAATCTATTTTAAGCGGTATTGAATATATGCATAGTTTTGGTATATTTCATAGAGATATTAAAAAATGCAATATAATGTTTAGGAATTAAAATAATTATGATTCAATATGTCTTGTTGATTTTGGTTTAGCAGAAAAAGCAAATAATGATAATGATTATTTATTCAAATATTGTGGTACACCTGGTTGTGTTGCTCCTGAAATTTTAAGAAAATAAAAATATGGATTAAAAGTAGACATTTACAGTGTAGGCATTTTATGCTATTAATTGATGTTTTAAAAAGATCCTTTTAAATCTAATTCAACTAAAGAAATAATAGTCAAGAATTTCTTAGGAAATATTGATTTATCGATGACATCATCCATTTCTAAAAATGGAATAAATTTCTTAAAAGGATTAATTGAAATAAATCCATCATTAAGATTTTCAGCAACTTAAGCTTTGAACCATCCTTTTTTATAGGCAAAAAATTTTAAAATAGTTTTTTGTAGGAATAATAATAATGCTAATTCAAGTAAAGAAGCAATAAAATTAAAGCCATTGATATTTCATAATAGTAGAAATTAATCTCCGTATAATATATCAAAAACTTCACCTAACAAATTTTACATGAAAACTGAAAGGAGTACTAGCTAAAGATACGATAAAACTTCAAATTAAAGCACTAAATTAATATCGAAATCTATTTTATTAAAAAATTTTAAAAAATTGAATACAAAATGATTTTACTTGCATTTTGATCAAGTTCAAATTAAAATCTAATTTAAAATTATATAACTCAAAACTCCATCTAAATTATTAGATAAAATATTTTTAAGAAAAATAATCATTAACATTATTAGTTTTTGATAGTAATAATGTATTGAAATACTATTTCACACATTAGAAAACAACTATAGGATCTATCGTATAGTGGTTAGTACCTGAGGCTTTAACCCTCAAGACCTTGGTTCGAATCCAAGTAGGTCCTTTTTTTTATTTATTATAATTATTTTTATTTTGAATTATAAATTTATTTATTTTTAAAAATTTGATGATTTTGAATCTTTAAATTCTTTAATGAAACAACGATTGTTTATAAAATTTTAAAATCAAATGAATTTTAACAACTTTCAATATTATTGTAGAATAGTTAAGAAGTGAGATTTTAATTTTCATGACCTTAGTTCGAATCCAAATAAGTTTATATAAACTTTTTGAATAAAATTTTTGTATACATATAACATTACCATAAAGACTAGCTATTTAAATCTTTTGAAGAAAATATACTTAATCAAATTTTAAATAAGAATAAATTTTTAGCTAAAATAAGCAAACTTATTCCCTAATTTTATAAACCAATTATTTTGTTGAATCCATATTATTATATTTTTGATTTAATGTAATAATTACAAAAGTTTTTTTTAATTCTGAAACAATTTCTTAATTTGATTTTAATGGAAAATTAAAATTCTAACTTTAACTTCTTAAATTTGTTTTATTTTAGTACAGGTTTCTATAATTGTTAATAATAGCATTTTTAATCATAAAATGAAATTACGATGTGTAGATATATATTTAAAAATATTTGAGATCTTGATCATTTTATTAATTTAAAAATAAATAATTTCTACAAAATAAAGAAAATAAATGTGTATTCTTAACAATTTGTAATTTAATAATGGAATGCTTTTCTTTTTTATAAATGATTATGTTGTTTTATCAAAATCTTTTTCAGCATAAATAAGTAATACATATTTTAATTTAAAAATTAATGTCTGTTCTTGATTAAAATGAAGACCCTTTATAAAGCCCTCATATAGCAAACTCATTGGTTTTAATAAGTAAAAGAAATCTCCACAATGAAGATGATGAGTTTTTGACAAATTTTAAAACTAAACAATCTTAATTTAATATGCTAGAAAAAATAAAGATTTCTCATGATGCAAGTGAGTAAAGCATAGCTTCTTAAGATGATTCTGATGAATTTAATGATTAATAAGGATTTAAAAATAGGGTTTGGAAGGAGAGAGCACTTAATGTAATAGTTCTTGTTGCCCGGTTTGTTACTTACCTATTAACTAATTCGGATAAATTTAAGTTGAGATATTTAGATCATAGACAATTTAAAGTGATTGGAGATAAAGCTGCCGATTTTAATTTTTATTTGAAGCATAAATTAATAAGAGCAAGGGAAAAAGGAGGATCATGGGTTATTAATTAATACTATAATAGTTAGCCTTTTAAACAAAAATAAAAATGTATATGAATTTTTTGAGTATTTTTTCTGCGATTATTAGACCAATAAAGCCAGACAATATCTTAAAATTATAATGGGATGTTATTGTATTCTGTATTCTTTTAATCAACATAATATACATACCTTTAAAAATTTCTTTTGATATAACAGTGGGCGATGGAGTAGATTTTTTTCTTGACACTCTGCCTTAATATGTTTTTGTGTTTGAAATTTTGTTGAATTTTAATGTTGCATATTATTCACGTGGAGTACTTGTTTTGAATAGAGGATAAATCTTTAAACATTATTTAAAAGGAAAGTTTATTTTAGACTTTATAGTTATAATCCCATTTGTGATTGGTAGATAGAATATACCTTATATAGAGTTTGTTTTATTATTTAGAGTTTCAAGGGTAAGAATTATATATTAAAGATTAGGTTATGCATATTTTTGAGAACATCGTTGAAACTCTAAATTTAAGAGTGAATTTTGCATCTACAGTAGATATTATATCACTAATGTCAACATTTTTATTTGCATCTCATATTATAGCCTGTTTTTGGCATTTTATAGCTATTTAAGAATAGGAATTCGAGACTAATACATGGATACAGAGAGCCCAATTATAAGATGATAAATGGTAGGCACGTTATATTACTAGTTTTTATTGGGCATGTATAACAACTTTAACTATAGGATATGGAGATATTATTCCAGTAATAATTTAAATATATTATTAGGTAACAAAATATGAACAAGTTTTTGTGATCTTTGTTACATTATTGAGTTCAATTATCTTTGGTTACACTATTTCAAGTATAGGATCTATTTTTGCTCAGATGAGTGAGAATAAAAATTATCTTAGAGATAGAATGACTATGATTGATTCTTTTCTTAAAAAAAGAGGATTAAATAAAGACTTATAAGTTAAAGTAAAGAAGTTTTTTGAATATTATCTTAAATAAGAAAGAGATACAGAATCTGAATGTGAAAAATTAATGATTCATCTATCAGGAAATCTCAACAAAGAAGTTAAAATAGACTTTTATAAAAATTTATTGTAGAACTCTAAATTAATTAGATAAAACTTTTCTTAACAATTTATTGAAAAATTATGTATTTTGGTTAAAGAATAAACCTTTGTACCAGAGGAGATTATATCTATTGAAGGGTAAAATATATATCATTAGTAGATAAAAAGTTGATCGAATCTACTTTATTTTAAAAGGAGAAGTAGAAGCATATGTTAGCAATAACAAAATTATTAAATTATATTAAAGAAATTCAGCAATTGATGAAAAGTCATTCATTTCTTAACATCCCGCTTAATTTTCAACTAGAGCTGTAAAATTTTCTAAATTGGCTTACATTACATATGATGATCTTTTAGAGCTATTAAAATATAATCAAAAAGATAGAGAACATTTTTATTATGTTAAACATTAGATTGAATTCAATGGAAGAATTAAAATGGGAGGATGTGAATTATGCCGTCAAAATCATACTTTTACTTGTTGTCCATTTGTATTCTATACTCCTAATTGTCTAAGATTATTTAAGAAAAATGATCATGATGAAAAACAAAAAAGAAAATTTATCACTAGATTGAGAATGAATGAAAAAATTCACAATGTAATGTAAATTAATTATTAATTAATAGAACACTTTTGGTTAATTGAGAAATCTTTAATCATCTATTTTTAATTTTTGTGCAACTTAAGGTTATTTCAATGAAATTGGACCTAATTCTGAATATATTATCTCAAATAAATTTCATATGCAATAGGATTCTGCTGTGGAAGATTAGGAAGCAAGTGATTAAAATTCATTATAAGATTCAGATAAAAAAATATCTTCACAGAATTTATTATTATATAAAAGAGAATCAAAAAGAAAGGATTCAGATATTTAAAACAAAGATGAAAAATCAAGTAAATCTAGAAAAAGGCTAACTAGAATTTCTGTCTAAAAAAGTAAATAAGAAAGAGATTCTACTCCTTTAGATAAAAAAATCAAATCAGGTATTAAAAGAGCAACATTGCTCATAAATCAAATGAAAATGGAACAAAGTTAAAAAATTGAAGAAGATTTAAATTAATTTTAATCTTCTTTACCATTAAATTTGTAATAATAATAATAATAATAATAACAATAACAATAATAATATCTATCATAACAATAACAACAACAACAATAATAATAATAATAACAATAATAATTCTAATTATAATCAAATTCTTCAGAATAGCAAAAACTTTATGATATGGATTAAGTTATATTGATAGAAATAGAAATTGCTAAATTAATTGCAGCTAAAGAATGTAATATAGATACTTAAACTGATATGGAATTCTATGATACTGGATTTAACTTAGAATAAGTAGTAGCCAAATTAAAAAAGGTTAAGAAAATTCCTATAAAATTAAAAAAAAGAAAAATGAGAAAATCATTAGCAAGATCTTATTCCATTCGGCATATTAGCCAAACAAAATCTTGAATATAACTTAATATAATCTAATTAAATCACATTTATTTTAATTCTTTTTTGAAAGAGATATCAGAAAATAAATCTGTGTTTTGTGATATATGATTAAGCTTAATTTTTTTCTTTCTTTAAGTAGCTTCTTCTTCTTAGAGATGAATATCTTATGCTTAGAATATATCTATAGGTTAGCAAGGACAATCAATAACATCTTGTTTATTCTGATATAATTCTGACATACAAACATAGTGATACCATTATTCGCAATTTTCACATTAATAATAAGCCCCATTTTTATTACAAATTTTACAAATTTTCGTTTCAAATATTTCTATCATTTTATCAAAATTTAAATTGTTGTACTTAGCCTTTGTATAGCAATCCATATGATAAAAATAGTGATTATCGTTAATTATCTTACTATTTTATTACTCAAAAAAATTATCTTTTTGACATAAAAAACAAGCTTAACCAAATGGATATTTTAATGTTATTTGTGGTATCAATTACTCAATTTTATCATCTTCAAATAATGACTAATTTTAAAGTTATTTACAAGTCTCCTGTTAAGTACTAATGTCTTAATTTTAGGTTTATTCTCTTCTTTTAATTTTTATCTGAATTGACTACTTTTTAGGCTTTATCAACTAATCTTATTAGTTAATTTCTTTCTAGAGTGGAAATTCCTCTAATATGTCAATTCTGGCTTATTTAATGATTTATTCTAATCTTAAAAGTTATCTAGTATTTAAGTTTAAATCGATTGAAACTTCAAAAAGACCTAAAAGATATTGATATTAGATTTACAATTTAGAAAAACTTTAGAGAGCTCTTAGAATTATTTTTATATTTGATCGACTAAATTCATAATAAAATATTATTATTTATATTCTCAATTTTAAACTCAAATTTTGAGATGCAAATTCTATGTTTTAGCAATAGGATTAGAATTTTTGTAAAATAAAGGGATATTAGAAAAAAAAACAACTGACTGATTTATAAAAATTTAAGAAAAGGTAAATGAAAGTGGAGAATAATAATTTCAGATAATTATTATTGAGGGTATAAATTGGAGAAGGGAAAAGAAGAATAAAACATTCATTTTGGGTGAAAATTATGTCAATTTATTTAAGAAGTATGGAATGCAAAAAAGAATAAAAATTAGCAGAAGAAATTACAAATTTTGTGGTATATATAAATGGTTTGAATAAAAGAAAAAATTATTTTGAATAAAATTAAAAATATATAAGATTTATGGAGGATTTAAAATTAGCAGGGATAAGATTTATTATGAAATAAAGGAGCAATCTTCGATAGTGGTCATTTGAAACTGGAATTAAATTGATAGCAAAAGCTAGAACTTAAGAATTAATAAATAATTAATAGGCCTGCTTTATTTTTTTGATAGGATCAGAGTTAGATGTAGGAGAATTATTTTAAATGAGAAGGAGACAGAAGGTTTTTACAATATATTTGATAAAATTGATGCCAATAGATAGACATTAAAATCGAAATGATAGGGACTTGAAATAAATTATTAAATTGATTTAATTCTAGAAGAAATATTCAAATGCCATCGAACAAACCGCTAACTTTGGATATAGAATCCTAAAAAAAAATATACAGAAAAGTTGAGTTTTTATTTTCTGATATGGGATGAAGGGGCTTAAAGCAAGAACTATTAGAATCAAAAAATAATAGATATAATAAATCATTAGCAAGTATGTTGTGTATTGTATTATTCAAATAATTTCTGAATACAATGACTATTGATATCAGAAATAAATCCTCACCTTCAGAGTAAGAAGAAAGAAAATTAATTAAATTGATTTATTAGTAATCATTAAAGACTACTAAAAAGCTAGTATCGAATCAGAAATATATGGAATATAATTGATTAATATATTCAAAAATAATAATAAATTATGAAAGCCTTTACCCTAATCTACTATATAGTGCCTTAAGATAATGATGATGTTGAAATACCTAATGCTTTTGGGTAATGATATCGTTAGATTAATAGTATAGGTAAACAAATCGATTAAGTCACACTCAAAGACATTAAGTCTAGTTTTCCACTTCAAGGAGAATATATCTTTAGATTTAGATATAAAACTAGTCATAATACAGTATGGCTTGATTTACCAACAGATACATCACAGATTCCATTATTCAATAATCGCATCTTAATAAAAGCAACAAGGATTAGTTGGGATACTCAAAATAATTAAATTCAATAAACTTAGACATAATAATAATCGAATGGCACTGTATAATAACAAAGTCAAAATTAAAATATAAATTAATAAGTGTTAGCTTAATTTTAATAGTAGCAACAGAATCAATAACAAGCATATTAGTAATAATAGTCCCAAAACTAGAATTTAATTGATTTTTGAATATTGTTTGTTGTGTTATTGAATATAATATATATGTATTGCTATATCAAGTCCAATATCTTTAACTTGGTTCTCTAGGGAATTTCATTTCTTCAATGCAGACAATAACATCATCATAAATTGAGTTATTAATAAAAGGCAAATTTTATAATGCTGGTCCTTATCTGACTCTAGCATATTTATCATATACTGAACCATGACAGATACACACCCAACCCTTATAAAATAAATTATGATTTTACATTATAAGCACCTAGATATGGAATAGGAATGCATCCCAAATGTGTACATAATGCACTTACAACCAAAACTTTAGTATTTCCACAATTAGTAAGAACAACTTCAGAACTAATAATAAAAACAAAGAATATACCTTGGATCTAAAATGGTTTCTTTAGGTAAATTATCTTCATCTTTAATTTCTTATTATGTTAATCTTCTAATAAATACTGGTGTACCATTCCATACTATTTACATGACTTCGCCAGGTGGTAAATCGCCGATACTATGCATTAATTGAAATTATTACTCCATTTCAAGATATGTGTCTCTATCATATCTCTTCCAACCGTCTAATCTACCAATAAGACCAACCGCAAACAATCTTGCAAAGGAAAGCAATCCACCATAATATACAGCATTCAATGCATAAATTTATGTTCTTTTTATTTCTGTCTCATGTTCATTATGGACTCTAAATTTAATATCGATATAATTATTACCTATTTTCATCAAACCAATTATCCATTTAAACTTTGAAATCAATATGATCTCCAAAATTTCCTGGTCTTGCAGATGTTGTGAAGAATTGTGGTGCTTCTGATACTTACACTCCTTTATATAACTTCTAATTGACTCTGCTATTATATTCGGAAACTAGACCAAAGTGAGCTCTGCCTATAAATGATCTACGGAATGCTCCACTTATCATTTTAAATCTTTTTTTATATAATTTATTTATAAATAGTTATTATCCTCATATTTTCATCTCTTTAATTGATTGTCTTAAACTAATCAGATTTATTTTACTTTTCTGTTCTAGAGTAGCTTCTATTATTTAAATAATCCGAACCTTTTTGGTGCATACTTTAAAATTATTGTTTTCTTCAATTATCAATCTATTTAAGCTGTTATGAAATCTAAGTTGATTTAATAACCCTATTTATTTGCCATATTAAGTTGCCGAAATATTCCTGAAGAGTAAAACAAATTTACAAATTATTTTTAAACTACTTTATAAAATCATATTCCTAATGAAGGCTGAATAATTAAGTATAGAAATACACTTTTCAATTTTAAAACTACACTTCTTTTTCTATCTTTTATTTTAATAAATTTACCTTGAGAAATCTTTCTAATATTTTCAAAAGATCTATTAATTCGATATTTAGAGTTAAGAAATATTAGAAAAATTCACATTTTTTTTCCTTTCCTAAACTAAATCAATAAAAATTGATAATATTGAATTGAGTTTACTTTATTGTGGAATTGATTTAGTTTGATTAATATTTTTATTAAATATATATCGAATATATTAGGTGTCTTCCAAGATATTTTGCTATTTATCTATTGAAAAACTATAGCATCTCTTTAAGGTGTTGCCTTTCAGAAAAGTTAAAATAGTTATTACTACACATTTAATTATAATTAAATAGTTTATTTTTTATAATAATATTAGCTATTAGGATAATTTCAAGTATATGTTTGGTTTTCTAAATAATTAATCTTTATTTTAATTTTAAAAATTAAAAATAAATTTATTCTGTTATTTCCTTATGATACATTTTCAACTCTGTTTTCTTTTGGAAATGCACTTTCTGAGTACACATAATTTAATAGTTTATCAGATCTCTTTTTTTTATTAGATAATTATTTGTAATGACATTAATATGAAAGTTCTCTATTTCTAGAAAAGAAAAACCTTAAAATAATTTTGTTCTCTATTCACAACAGAAAAGATAGTTTTTTCTAACTAAGATTTAAAAAGGACAACAATATTTATTCTTATTTATGTTAATAATAAGATTATACTCAATTACTATACCTCAAGTTTTTTAATAAATAATTTTGAATAATTACTATTTTTTCTAAAAATAGAATCAATATTTGCTTTTAAGAATTTCCGAAATTATTTAGGAAATTTGAGTTTTAGTATTAAATTTTTGTCCTTTAAATGTGAGTTTGTTAGTAAAATAAAATTGTAATGAAGATATATTTATTTGGATTCACTTTGTTAATCATAGCAAATTCTGTAACCACATTAAATCTATCAAATTATTCTTAATGCTCATGCAAAAATGCATTATAATAATAAGATTGTTTAACTGATTATTGCGATTGGAATCCAAATGAATCCACATGCACAAACAAGCCTTGTTCAGGATTCAAAGAATAGGATTGTTGGGGTGTTCCAGATTCATTTAATTGCGTTTGGAATTACACATCTAAAATATGTGAAACATAGACTAAATGTTCTAATTATACATACAAAATGGATGAAGGTTATAGATGTTATGATATGATAAAATGTTAAGCTGATGTTGATTAATAAGACACTATAGCTGGAACTGTAAAATGTATGGATAGAACACATGAGACTGCTTTGAGTATTGTAAGTTGTGAAAAAGTGCCTTATGAAAGATGTCGTTGGTTTATAACTTCTAATGGAAAACAATGTGTAAAGAATACATAAACCTAAACTTGTTAAGAAACATCAATAACTCAATGTTCTGATTATGCCACCGAAGAGGTTTGTAATATATTTTCCTGTTACTGGAGTGATACTTGCAAACCATTGACTTGTTCTGCTATTTAGATTGTGGACGATTGTACATCATTTTATTCAATTGATGCAAAATAAGTTACAATTTGTAAATGGAATGCAGGTAAATGTATAGATTTAGATGTAACCACTTTAATATAAGCTGAATGTTTGCCATCTACTATTTATTCCTATATTTGGAATCCAGATACCAAAAAATGTGAAATTTGTTAAGAGGAGAGTTCAAGCTCAGCTTTATTTTTTTATGGATCAATCTTGTTGATGACTATATTAAATTGATAGTTATATCATAAAGTTCAAAACAATACAATATTTAATACAAAAAGCTCTTTAAGGTTTCTTTAGTTCTAAAATTTTATAAATATTTTTATACCTTTTTTTTATTATTTCTATTAAAATATTACTCCTATTATTACTTTAGATTTATTACAAATTGTTCAAATTAAGCCTTTTTTGTTCATGTTATTTTTGTCAATTAAAGTCTTAGCAATCTATTGGAATGAAAATTTATCACACTTTAAATAGTTTATTATTGTCTAATTTTATACTGATTTATAAATTGTTATTCTTATTATGAATGAATTCTTTTTTGATTTGATGAAACTTACAAGTACTATTTAACTATTTAACATAAATAGAAAAGAATATTGATTTGACTACTGTATTTACTTACTGGCTCTTTGTGTTTATAAAATTTATGGAGTTGAATTGAATTTTTGTTTATTATCAAAAACTCAACAATTTAAAATTCAGCATAAATATTTTAATTATTTTAATTCATAAATCTAACTCTGCTTATTTTGATATTATTTTTGATTAATTATTATTTAAATCTTTAAGTTGATTTATGATATTGATTCTCTGATATTAAATAAGGTGCAGCTACTTGAGTCTTCTGTAAAAAATAATGTGATTTTCTAAATCATTGCAACTAAATCTCTTCGTTTTACAAACATCCAATTGCTATATTTTATTCTTTCTCTTTTACATTAAACATCTAAAATATTATCATATTTGATCATTTGCATTATAATTGTTATTTTCCACTTTTATAAGATTTTCTGATTAAAATGCTACTTAATTTAATTAATTTTTATGTATTTTAATTTATTAGCAACAACAAATCAATTTCATTATACATTATTCACATTTATTAATGCTCCTTTAATTTCAATACAAGCATTTCCCATAAAAATTCATATGATTTATAATATTAAATTATGAATGATTATTTTAATAAATATTAAATAAATCTTCATTCCTATTCTAAATTTTTTTAATCAACTGATGATATAATAATTTAATCTTTTAAATATGAATAAAAATTTATATTGAAAATTTTAATCATTAAATTTTTTTGACTTAAAAACTTAGTTAACAATTAAAGTTGTACATAAATTTTCCAATTTCATATACATAAGATTTATTGTTAATTATACTCCCCTTCTTATTAAATGTAATTCTTAACTTGATAATTGAATAATTGATAAAATGGTAAAATAGTTTGATGATTTATTTATTGATTCTTAGCTCATTTCTTAACGATATTGAGTAAATAATTAAAAATAAAATTTCTAGAGTCAACTTATAAAATAATTAGAATGGTAATTAAAAATGATGATAATAATTTGATAGATTTAAGAGCCTTAAATAAATCCTTAGTTGGGACCTGTAATAGCAAAATAAATTCAAAATATTATTAAATAACCAATTGATGGTAAAATGTTAAAATTATAGAATTAGGAGTTCATATGATATTTAATGAACAAGATGTTTTTGATATTTAAGCAGATATAGAAGGTCCAGGTAATAAAAATAACAATAATTTTTAGTTGATACTCCATTTTAAGGAGGTATTTTTAGATGCAAATTAATTTTACCACCTTAGTTTCCATAAGTAGCACCAAAAGGTATAAATATTAATATGTTAGGATTGTTTAATACAAAAATATTTCATCCAAATGTATCAGAAAAGGGAGAAATATGTGTTAATACATTAAAAAAAGATTGGAATCCTCTTTAATGGTCGTTAAAGAATATATTTGAAGTAATCAAATGTCTTTTGATTGTTCCATTCCCAGAAAGCTCTCTTAATGAAGAAGCAGGTAAACTGTTCATGGAAAACTATGATGAATATTTTAAAAGAGCAAAATTACTTACAAGCATCTATGCTATAAAATAAGATGGAAATGTTTTAAAAGGAAATAATTAAGTAACATATATAAAATAATATTAAAGAATATTAATGATGATGTTGACAAGAAAAATAAATTGACACAAACACAACAAAAAAAAGAAAACGATCAAAAAAAATGGCTGAAAAGAATATGATTACTAATAATTATTTAAATAAAGTCATTAATATATATATTAAATATATATTTATGTTGTGCATTTTATTTTTTTTAAAAATAATAATTATTTATCATAAATTTTAAGAGTTAAGCTTCTTTAAAGTCTTAGTTTTTTCGATCAATTATGCAAATCTACCAATTTGACTTAAATTATGAGTAGAAATCAAATCATCTTCATCTAAATTAATATCTTTAAAACAATCTTATAAAAGATTAACTAATTATTAAGAGGTTGGTCTTTCATTTTTATCAAATGATAGACATTGAGCAATAATATCTATAAATTATTGATCGATATTATATTATTTTAATTAGTTTTGAATTTATTCTTTAGTAAAGCTTCTTTTGTATTATTCTTTACTAAAATTTTGACTTGTCATTTCAACTGGATATTAGCCTCTATTAAAAATTTAAAACACTACAAATAAATTAAATTATTCTACTAATAAGTCCAACTTGCCAAATATCTGCACTAGTATCATAATCAGTAGTTCCAGCTTCTGGTGGATCATAAGAAGGAGTAGCTCCTAATACTGATTTTGGTGTAATTTCATTTAATTTACCTTTTGAATCTTATTTTAATTCTATTATATATTTTGATTTGTCTACATTTTTATTAATGTTCATATATTGATTAAGATAACCATTATGATAATCTAGATCTATCAAAATCTGCAATTAATAATTTAGCTTAATCTATATTTTCACTTGATAAAAACAAATTTCCTGGTTTTAAATCTCGATGAATAATTTAATGATTATGAAGATATTTAAGAGCTAAAGTCATTATTTATATAATTACCAATTGCTAATTAATAACACATCTATTCACAATGTCTATTCTCATCAATCTATTTCTCCTCAAGCATATTTGAAAGAACTTAAGGATATCTTTCCATGAATATGTAAAGCTATTTTTAAATTCTAAAATATGCATAACATGCAACTAATGGTTCATATTTACTGAAATTTTCCATTATTTCTAATTCTCTTTAAGAAGAAGTCAAAAGATATTCTTAATCAGTATCATTTAAATCAAGTTTTATAGATTTTAAAACAGTTCTTTAACTTATATTTGGAATTGTTTTCATAAATTCTGGAGTATCGAATTCATATACATATGAATTTGATGCTGCAGAAGCTAAAGTATTTACATTAGTAAATTCGAATATTTAATCTAATAATTCAACATAAGGCATATTTTCACTTGGCCCAAGATATACATTGTTTTATTATAATAAATAATTCGTTGAATTTTCAAAATTCACTTCAAGAAATTCTCCATAAAGTTTTATCACTAAAATTATAAATTTCTATACATACTTATTTTTTTAAAGCTTTCAAAACTTTCTTTTTCACTTACATCTCTATCAAAAGAAAAGTCTTATTAAGAGAGACATATGTGATTTTCTAAGATATATACACTTCTCTCTGTTATAATAAATGGAAATCCACGATAGCATAATTCCTATAAAGCTAAAAATGTTCAATTTATTATGTTTACTTATACTAAGTATAACACTTAAATAATTTTTTTGAGATTCTGTTAAATCTTCTACATTATTTGCCAAAGAAAATTTTTCTACATCTTATGCAATAATTGTTTATGAATCTAAGTACTAATCAAATACAGGCAAAATATTGTAAAGCTTGATTCTCTTCAATGCTTTAAACCTTTCATCATCTATGCTTCCAATTTTATATTTGCGAGCACAATACTATATCTCATTACTATTTCTTATGCAAGTATATTCCTAGATAAACTATTTTCTTACATCATACTCATTACAAGAATATCTCAAACCAAACGTTTTATAAGTTTCTTCTAGCTTTTCTAAATTAAAATGAGAAAAATTTTAGTTCATTAGAATAATTATTTCATATTCAAATAGAATAAATGAGGTTTTCACACTTTTATTTATAATAAATAAAAAAAAATATAAAATCTTAATTTTCTATCTAGAATTAAATTTTCTCATTAAACTTTAAAGTAAATTCTTAAAAATATACATTAATGTTCAAATATACTAAGAACTATAAGTCTGAAAATTGAAAGTAAATAACCACTAAGTATAATAAATTTATATTATTGAAACAGATTTAAACCATTAGAACTATATTTAAGATTCTTTAATATATTATTCTCAGGATTATTCTCTTATAAAACTAAAATTTAAATATAATAAAAAGTAAATAAAAGCGGCATAAAATTATTATTATATATAATTATGAAAAAGATATTCTAATTTCTTTATTTAAATGTATGATAAATAATATATTTTTTTTTATATATTAATAAAAATTTTACCCTATCATATAAAAGTAAAATAAAATTCAAAACAGATTATGAATAATTTATATAAATAATAAAATTGATTTAATAATGAT